GAGGGAGGGAGGGAGGGAGGGAGGGAAGGAAGGAAGGAAGGAAAATATATTGATGCATTGTTGAATTCATTATGAGAAATAAAGAGATGACAGCAAATTTGGCAGGACAATTTGTTTAATAAATGCACAATTCATCTAAGAAAAACAGGGCAGTAAGTGATGAAATGTTTAGACAGCAATTAGGATGTGTTGATGTCTGCAACGTAGTCACTTTTTCACCTCCTCTTGTGCACAGACAAATTTGTTTGAAAAGAGACGTGACCTGTCTTCTTCTCTGGGAAACATTAGCAACTCTTTCTCCCCTCACTCTGCTTCATTTGACTCTTTGAACCTCTAGGGTTATCTGTGCAAATTAGTTTTTGCATCCTGTCAAATCAAATGAGCCCTTCGCATCTTGGGCATTTGCAGCAAAACCGTACTTGCTCAGGTCAGAGTAACTCACATCATACCTGCTGTCAGACAAGCAGCCAGAGGAAAGACAAACAAACAAAAGAGAAAGAATTGAGTTCAAACTTTAAAGGATTTCATTATTCACAGATTCTAGGTCAGCCTGTATTCTAAAAGGCCCTTTTAGGTACAAACACAGACCTTTGTGAGCACAGACTGTTTAGCAATTTAAATAGCAATTTAATACCAAAATATATTGAACCCACAGTTTTCATAGGCAAATATTAGATAAAATTAGCTAATCAAATTATTTTCAAGGGAGGGGCTCCCTTTATCATATATGGGAGGTTGCCCTTGTGGTATTGAGTATGGCTCCTTCCTACATAGACTACATGAAAAATGGATAGCCAAGATTGTACTTGGAATAGAATTAGCTCAGTGGTGGGTTTGAAAATTTTTTGGAACCTACTCTTTGGGTGTGGCCTCATTTGTGGGAGTGGCTTGCTGGCCATGTGACCTGGTGGGAGTGGCTTGCTGGTCATGTGTTCTCTCTCTCTCTCTCTCTCTCTCTCTCTCTCTCTTTCATTTCTTTTGTCTCTCTGTCCCTTTTTTCTTTTTTTCTTTCATCTCTCTCTCACTCTTTTTCTTTTTTATTTATTTGTTTCTTCCTTTCTTTCTCTTTCTCTCTCTCTCTCTCTCTCTCTCTCTGTGTCTGTCTGTGTGTGTGTGTGTGTGTGTGTGTGTGTGTGTGTGTGTGT